GTTTTGGTTTTTAATTATTAATACAAAAATGGTTCCTATGACTTAAATGCGTATACTGTCTATATGCATAAAAAAGTCTGACAGTTGGTATGCAATTAGACAGTACCGAAGGTAAATAATTAAGTTTTCATTGTAGCGAACTGATCGTATTTGTAATTCAATTATGTAATATTATAATTTTTTGGGATCAAGTTGAAAACTTAAATTCGATTTCCTGGAATATTTAGAAGAAACATCTAAAATAATCTCATAGTCGATCATTACTAAATAAGGTGCGATCATCCATAACCCAAATTTGGTATATTCCCCGACTGTATTAGAAGATACAGGAAGATTTTACTAACTCCTTTTACGTCTTACGGTTTCTTGTGAGTGGGCGTTGCATTGGGTAAATAAACCCAAAGCAACCGAGTTATTTGAATTTCTTAATCTACTTATCAAACTTCCTGATCGACATTTACTTGGAGGACGAATTTTGAATGATGCAATTAGTGAATCTGATAAAGCTATGCTAGCTATGTTAAAGGAAGATGAAGTTGGTATAATGTTAACCTTTGATGGTTGGACTAACGTTCGAAATGAACACTTGTTAGGAGTAGTAATAATCACATCAGAAGGTCGACCTTTTGTATGAAAAGCACAAAATATAAGTTTAGAATGCGAAACCCATGTAAAAGTGATTGAAAAAATTAATGAAATGCTTACTGTATTAAAGGCGCAGACGATCAAAGTCATTTCTATTGTAACTGATAGCGCAGGAGCATACGCGGCTGCTAGATATATTGTTTTTTTATTTTAAATAAAAAAAAAAAGAATAATTTGGATGATTTTAACGCTCACTGGGGGTGAAATTCACCGGGCTTTGATAATCGGTATTTAGTATACCAAGGAAAAATGTTCAGCACCATAAAAAACCCTCACTTCTACTTTAATTTAAGCTTTAAATCCTAACCCTAAAGTTTAATTTTAGCTTTAAAATTTGTGGCAAAATTTTCTATAGATCATATAATAATAATAATGATTTTTTTTAATAGACGTCGCTTGAGAATTGTAAATAGGTCAATTGTGTTTTTACCTTGCTATGCACATCAAATAAATTTGTGTATTGGCGAAATCTTTAAAGAATCAACCAATTTTAAAAAAACAATCGATCAGGCAATTTGTCTTGCAACTTATTTTAAAAACCCAATGAATAAATTTTTTATAGCGACATTGAAAGAAATACAATATACTGAATATAAAAAGTGTTTTGCGCTTAATGTTCCTGAAGAAACTCGATGGAACAGTTTTTATACTGTTTGTTCAAGCATTTTAAGAACACAAAAGGCTCTGCAGGTAAATTAGTATATTTTTATTATCATGTTTTTAATATTTTACAAGCTTGACTATAAGGGGTTTCATAATTAACTTATTTTGAAAATAAGTAGAAGTCTACTTCTATTTTTAAAATTACATATTTGATGTAAATATGTCACTCATTTTGTCTGAAATCGGATGCAACCATTAATTCTGAAACCCCTATAATGCTTAGTTTATATAAAACTATAATTAAAAACTATCTTGCATTACCAATAATTAAAGTTTAAATAGACATAAAGTGTTTAAATCGAGCTTTTATTGACGATACCAGGGTGGCTCCACAAAGTTCAGGTGTACCACTAACGCAGTATCTAACACTTGTAATGCTCATTAACAAAATGACTTTTTAGGACTTATAGATTATAATCCCAAAGTGTCATTTTGTCAGCAAAATATCATTTATCAAATTTTTACTTCAGCTTGAAGTGTTACTAGATGCTACGGCATTGGCACACCCGAACTTCAGGGGGCCATCCTGGTGTCATCACCAAGATCAAACTTAATTAATAAAATATTAATATTTTATTACTTTACTATATACATAGATACTTGCGATTAAGTTTGAACCAACTTCATATACTAAAACAGAACCAAAAAAATTAAGGCATGAAATACATGATATAATTAGTTCTGCTAATTTTTGGACCAATATTCGTCGTTTGCTTAATCTTCTCTAACCATATTGTATTATCTTAAATAAGTTACAATCTGATAAAGCTCGCTTGCATCAGGTTATTTTAAGTTTAGGTTATCTTGTTCAGTTTTGGGATAATTATGATGATGACTTGCAACTTAGTGCTCGACTTATATTATGTTTAGAACGTCGATGGAAAGATTGGGAACAACCTTTATTAATTTTATCCTGTCTTTTATATTCCAATTATCGCTTAAAGCAATTTAACGTTAATATTAATTATGCTAATTTGGGCCTTTGGCTAGCTCATTATTATGAAGCATGGTTTGGAACAGAACCAACACAAATTTTAAAAGAATTTGATAGATTTCGGTTAAAAAAGTATCCTTTTGATCAAAAAACATGGAGTCAATTTGATGATATTTGTGAGTATTGGAGCTTTGCAAGCTCATTGACAGAAGAATTAGGTTTAGTTGCAAGCTGAATTTTTGGGATATGTGTAAATGCAGCTGCTGTAGAGCATCTTTGGAGCTGCATAGGATTTCTACAAACAGGTCGACGTAACAGATTGATGGTATGTCTAATTATATATAACAATAATTATTTTAAAGTATCCAGGGTACTGCTGCCCTAATTACAATTAGCAGTGGTCTTCTGATTTTAACAACTGCCCTACTTTGTTTAGTGCGTCGAAAGTGTATCGGGATGCATTGCGAATACAAAAGTAAAAATTTTAATTATATTGTATAATTGGAAAATTTACTTTGTGTTCGTAATTTAGGAATAAGCGAACCTGTGTTACACTCGACATGCCCTCGATGCACTTTCAACTTACTAAAAAAGTAGAGCGGCTGAAAAATATCACTGCTGCTACAATTATCGTTAAATCAGCAGATTCTATGGTATTAAAAACAAAATAACAAAAAAAAAAAATTTTTCTAGTTTATTATTCTGCTTGCAGAATTCAGATTCTGTCTATAGTACCCTGGATATTTTAAATTTATTAACATACGTATGTTTTGAAATTAAGAACTTACTAAATTAATTTTAGCCTGCCAAAGCCTTACAAATGAGCAAGTTATGTGCAGATATTACATATAGTCACCGGCTTTGATCAGGTTTTATATATACCGATACCGATACATATATCTTCAATACAAATATGAAAATAGATTCTGTAGAACAAACGAATACTAATATAGAACCGGTTAATTCAGATAATTCAGATAGTATAAATAATTCAGGTTCTAATGTAAAAATAGTTGAGTTTTCAGAAAATAGTGAAGTTTTAGAAAATATAGAAATAGTTGAATCTTCAGATGAATCAGAAAACGAAGATATAAGTATCGAGGAAGGGTTTGATAATTATTTACAAGAATGGGTAGAGATGTTAGAAGAAGAAAAACAACGATTTGAAGACGAAGATATAGAAAGGGGAGATGATAATGATGAGATTTCTCTAAATAATACTGTTCATCCTGTGATTGACCCCAATGCGAAATAGGAATTGGCCACCTTTTCAAAAAACTGGATTTAGAAGATATTTTTTAAAATTCATAGCAGAACCTTTCTTTAATACAGCCAACCTTCTCTAAATGTATAGCCAAAAAAACCTATATGAAAAAATTGGTCAATCTTGCATTTAGAGATATTATGTTTAGGAAATGAAAATCTATAGGTATTATATAAGTTGGGACCAGTGTATTTTTTTGGAAAATTCATGTGGTTATTTGATTTAAATCTATTAAATTTGCTTCGCATATTTTATATTTTTGTATATATACGATTGACACTCTTTTACTACTTAGCGAATTAATAAATTTGATGTATGTCAAGTATTTTGCTACAATCGCGACAATCTCAAAGCAAAAAAAAAAATTTTTTTGCCTTTAGTTAAATTATTCAGTTCGGGTGTGCTTGAATCAGCTGTTCTTATAAATTTTAGTAATTTACATTAAAATTTTTATAAAAATCGTTGAATTCATGTGGGTGACATTTAGACAATTGTGCAACATATCTGACAAATTGTCAACAGTTATTATCGGTTATA